TGTGTGTGTGTGTGTGTGTGTGTGTGTGTGTATATATATATATATATATAACACTTTATATACTGACAACAAGCACAGCCCACACACCTGCTCGACCATAAGCGTGACCACACTTCTGGGCCACCCAGGGATGGTCTGTTGGGCCATTTGTTTGAGGAGTGTTGTTTTGCCGCAGCCATTGCGTCCAATAAAACAGTACTTTCGGCCTTTGTGTAACTTGATTTTCGCATTGGCCAGCAGCTCTTTGCCGTAGAACTCAATGGTCACGTCCTTGAGATCCACCTGTGGGTATAGGGTTTTAGGGTTTAGGGTTTTAATCGGACGATACAAGATCGGGCGGAAAAAAGTGAACGATGAGAGACAGACAAGAACAGGGTTTTTAGGGTTTTAGGGTTTAAGATTTTAAGGCTTTAAGGTATTAGGGGTCAGTATAGAAACAAAGGCTATCTACCACTATATAAACTCACCCCAACCAACCCACCACACCTCAATATCGCCGCCCCGGTTGTCGGTGAGTTCTGTATGGAAACGGGATTGCCTGGCGTATATCTGAATGCCTGTGTCTATGCCAGCCACACCTCCCGTGGCCGGTGCAGCGGTTGGGGGTGCGCTCTTCTTCTTGTTGTCAGGTTTTCTGTAAACGTTTTGTATGGGTAAACGATTTGTACGGAGGCAGTGTGTGTGTGTCCTTGTGTGGCAATTCGTGTGTGTAAAGCGTTTGTGCATAACGCTTCACGTCGGTGAACTGTTTGCGCCTGGCTATTTCAGAATGAAACGCTTTGCTGTTTCGGGGTAGAGAGGTGAAGTGTTTGGTTTGTGTATAGTGAGAAGGTACGACAACACAGCCAGAGCACTCAGTCAGAGCGAAGGCTTGTGCCGTTGCGATATACACAACCACTCCGATGCGCATACACACATTATGTAGAAGACTTAAACGTATACGTCTTCCACATACGCTCACATTCTGTAAAAGACAAAAACGTATATATCTACCACTTATGCTCACATTATGTAGAAGGTCTACCACAAACGCCCGCATTCTGTAGAAGACTAAACCGTATACGTCTACCACATACGTTCACATTCTATAGAACAATGAAACATAACCGTCTCCCACATACGCTCTGGGTGATCGTTTGCGTGGTTTGCCTTTGATGTGTTTGTCCTCTTCGGCCTCGTCTTCTGAACGTCCGCTGTTATCAGACGCAGTGGAGTGACTCTCCGGCGCACCATCTGGCACAGCAAGAGAACCCTACACAGCCAACGGAATACAGTTAATAAGACAAAACCCTCCACCCCAATACAACAACAGATGATCATACAACCAACGAATTACAATCAATTAAGACTAGTGACCATAC